TCCGAGTACAGAACCAGAGTTCGAAACCTATCCAACTGCAGAGAGGTGTAAGACAGGGTGACGTTATATCCCCGAAACTCTTCACCGCTGCGTTGGAAGACGTTTTCAAGCTACAGGACTGGAAAGGATACGGTATTAACATCAATGGCGAGTACATCACTCACCTTCGATTTGCCGACGATATAGTCCTTATGGCAGAATCGCTGGAGGACCTTAGCACTATGCTCAATGACCTCAATGGTGTCTTCCAACGGATAGGTCTTAAGATGAACATGGACAAAACAAAGATCATGTTTAATGTCCATGTCACACCTATGCCGGTAGTTGTTGGGAGCACTATGCTCGAAGTTGTTGACGAGTACGTTTACCTGGGACAAATAGTCCGACTAGGTAAGTCCAACTTCGACCGAGAGGTCAATCGACGGATTCAACTCGGCTGGGCAGCGTTCGGGAAATTACGACACATCTTCACGTCAGGTATACCTCAATCTCTGAAAACTAAAGTGTACAACCAGTGCGTGTTGCCAGTGATGACTTACAGATCAGAGACGTGGTCCTTCACCGCTGGCCGTATGAGGACGCTCAAGGTTGCTCAGCGAGCTATGGAGAGGGCTATGCTCGGAGTTTCTCTGCGTGATAGACTCAGAAATGAGGATATCCGCAGTAAAACCAGAGTGACCAACATAGCCCAACGGATTAGTAAGCTGAAGTGGCAATGGGCCGGCCATATAGCTCGAAGAATCGATAACCGATGGGGAAGAAAGGTTCTCGAGTGGCAGCCTCGTACCGGTAGGCGTAGTGTAGGGCGACCCCCCACTAGATGGAGTGACGACCTGGTAAGACATGCAGGAAGTCGATGGATGCAGGTGGCTCAGGACCGTGCTTTGTGGCGTTGCTTGGGGGAGGCCTATGATCAGCAGTGGACTTGTGAAGGGCTGTAATGATGATGATGATGATGACAGTTTATCCAATAGAGTTATATAACAGACTCTGTCATAGGCTTTACTCATATCGAGCAAGAGTCCTACTGCGATTTTTTTATCGTCGATTTTGTCTAGGATGTTTTTTACATATTTATAAATTGCTAAGGTGGTGGAGTGGTTTTTCCTAAAGCCATGTTGGTTCACGTGTAAAATTTTATATTTTTCATAAAATGAACAAAGACGTTTCGCCATAGCCGCTTCAAATATTTTAGCAGACGTAGGTAACAGAGCTATAGGTCGATAATTATTTATGTCAGTAGTTTCGCCCTTTTTATGCAAGGGTTTGATTAGAGATATTTTGAGGGCATCTGGGAAGATACCTTCTGAAAAAGATTGATTTACCAATATTGTATAGGGGATTGTTAACAAATCAGCACAACTTTTAATCAAAATAGGAGTCATTTCATCAATGCCGCAGGATGATTTATTTTTGAGATTTTTTATTATAGTATTCATTTCATTAGTTTCTACTAGGCTTAAGAAGAGAGTGTTTTCGATGGATTTTGTTAAAGTTGTTTTATTTAAGTTACAGTTATTTGAGTGTAAATTTCCTATAGATGCATAAAAGGTATTAAATAAGTTCGCTACTATTTTAGGATCACTTGATATATGTTTATCTGTTATTTTTAGTTGGACATTTCTATATTTTCGTGAATTTTTGTTAGTCTCGTTATTTATGATTTACCACATAGTTTTAGTCTTATTTTGAGAATTTTCAAATTTATATTTGTTACATAATTTTTTGGAAAAATTGATGGCTTTTTTTAATATTTTACAATACTGTTTATAATGATATTTAAAATTTTCATTTTTGGTTTTGGAAACCAATAACTTTAAAAATCTTTTATAGCGACACGATGTTTTTAATCCTACTGTTAAATAATTTTTCTTTGGAGGATTTTTTATTTTTATTTGGATTTTTGGTATACATTTATTTAAAGCTCTTTGTAAGATTTCACTAAATATGTTATAATTCTCATTTATATTTTTATTAGGTTTAAGTATGTCTTCCCAATTTATATTAGAAATTTCATTTTTGAATTTAGTTATATTTAAGTTATTGTATATTCGTTTATTTAATAAAAATTGCTTTAAGTTTTGTGTTGGAGACGGTATAGAAATTAATAAACTACAATGATCTGAAAAACCAAATTCATGAACAGCTATTTTCATATCCTTTAATTTAAAATTAATAAAAAGTAGATCAATGCATGTGGAGCTGTTTGGTGTAATTCTGGTGGGTTGTTTAATCTTTTGGTGGAAGTTATACGATAACATTAAATTAGAGAGCCTATTTTTTTCGCTATTATTTGTTAGGAAGTCTACGTTAAAGTCGCCACCTATGATAATATTCTTAGAATAATCTTTTTTTGAGATGAGACTCAAGAGTTTTTCTAGACGTGAATAGAATACTTCGATTTCCCTTTTGCTATTAGGCCAGTAGAGGTTAATATTTAACAGGTTTATTTGAGAGATTTCAGTAGCACATATTTCAAAAATCATTTCGGTGGACAACGAAGATATATCTATTCGTTCGTAATATTCTAATGTGTTTTTTATTAGTATACATACTCCACCACCGTCATGCTCCTCCCGGCAGAAAGATGAGTTTACGGAATATCCTTCTATTTTCAACAAATCTTTCTTTTGTTTATTTAACCAAGACTCTGATATACATATGACATGAAAATTACATCTATCCTCTATAAATGCCTCTAGTAGGTGAGTTTTATTACAAATACTTTGCATATTTTGAAACATAATATTAAAATAAACTCCGAAAAGTAGAGTTACTTGTTATATTATTGTCTTTTCTTGGTCCTACTGCTTCGCTGGTTGTAGCTTGATTTGTGTTGTAGAGATGGGAACGGTAAAGTTTGGTGATTTATAGACGGTTATTTTTGTATCATCTCTGCCTTCTGTTGTCTGCGTGTACGTATTGATTTTCTCATCATTTAGTGATAGATCGGTTGCTTCTTTTCCGTTGATGATTAACTTATTGTTTCTTATAATCGCGTGGTGTCCATGTTTTTGCGCTATATATAAGGCATGCTTCAACTTTTTTCTTTTTTGCAAAGCTTGAGGACTTAAATATGTACTCTGTGACACTGATTCCGGGTTGTTCTAAATATATGTAGTTTTCTAGGATGTATTTTTTCATTTTTTTGCTAATTAATTCGAATTTTAGCTGTCTTTTACCTATGAATCCTTTTGCCTATGAATGTTAGTCCTTCTATATACCCTGTTAAATCTAAGCATAGCATGTCATAAAAATATTTATAACTCTTTCCATTACTATTTCGTCCGATTCCCAATAATTCTCTATAAATCCGTGTAGAACTAAAACTCTTTCATAGAGTTGATTGTTCGGTTGGAGTACATTTTCTTGTATGTGTTGGATTTCTTTTTGTAATTTAATATTTTCAGCCTGGAGAGTAAGGCATTTTTGTTGTAATTGCTCTATTTTGGAGCCTAAATTTGATAGATCTTGCTTAAATTGTGTTTGTTCCAGTAAAATTTTTTTGAAGCTTTGTATAAAATTGGCTTTTATTTCAGATATAGCGTTTTCTATTTCTTTTTGGAAGGAAGTTTGTATTGCTTTTTAAGATATATTTGTTGTTTTCTTGCAATATGGATGTAATTTTTTGTAGTGTGATTTGCTCATCATCTATATTAGAACAAATAGTCACATCTTTTCCGATTAGGGATTTTGAAGTTTCGAAAGCTACAGTATTTCCTTGGGGCGATATTATAGAGTCATCGTCACTAACTGTCGAGTTTTCTTCATTGAAATGTGATATCTTTTTTCTTTTTGTGATATTAGGATCTATTATTAGATTTAAATTTAAATTTTCACGATGCTGTTGTGGTCGGATGGGCGTGTGACTGTTGTCTGCCTTTGGTTCATTCGATCGACAAAGTTGGCATTTCCACAACAGTTTGTGATCTTTAGTCACGATATTGTAAAAACGTTTTTCGGGTACGTTAGCACATTCGAGATCATAATTTTGGCAACAAATAGAGCATTTCAAAAATCTCCTATCGGGTATCTCTTGACGGCAGCCTGCACAAACGCCTGCCATCTTCAAGGGCAGTGGCGGTAGTTTGGTAACGATTCTTAGAAATGTCTATGTCGGCTATTCTACAATAGATGGCGCCACGTAGTATGTGAGTTACGTTGTATAATATGGCTCCCCAATCTAAACGAATTTGCAACAGGTGTATGTATACGCTATTTCACACTAGTTGGCGTTGTGTTATTTATGAGCTAGTAAAACAGGTAGGGTACAAAGTCCATTTCTTAGTTCTCGAGATAGAACAATAATTCGTTATGCAGATTTAAAAATTACGCACTGTTTACTTACAGTTTTCACACATTTATTAAGTTTTAATTTATTGGTGTATTGTTTAAAGATTATTCACTATAATAATTTCTCCTTACCACAGTTTAAAGCTTCAACATTGTAAATCATTTCACTGTAAATTTTTTAACTTATTTCTCCAATTTTCCTTTCACAAACACTGTCACACATTACTTTTTGTTTACTTATCACTTTTATTGCAATTATTAGATGGAATATTATTGTTTACTATTTTTAAATTAATTTAAAATGAAGAGCTAATGTTTACACGGACAGCGCCCTCTCGATCTCCTAGTCTAATTTTCTATTCCATTTTCTATTCCTTCAGTCTCATAGTCCGATGGAATGACGGAGTGAGATCGGACGTAGGACAATCGATTTCGTCTGCTTTTCGAAGCACGGGGGTTAAGTATAGCCACTATCTGGTCCAAGAGCACTCGTCTGGCATTAAGTGTAGGGAGTGACTATTGAAAAGGAAGTGAATATTAAATGAATATATGAAACTCTTGAGCCATAACATTTGTAAATCACGGAATGAAGAAATTTGCACTGCACAATTTCTATGGGATCTTTATATTAGATAAAAATCATCCGCTTACTAACAGGTGGACTCAGCTAGTTTGTCACCCTTATTCTATACTATAAAAAGATATACCTTGGACCAGTCGTATCCGACAGCGTACGCGAATATCTGCCCGCTGTGGTTGAAGGCGCACTTGGTGAGCGGCTGGTCCAGCGTCTCGGAGGACTTGAGCTTGGTGCGCGCGTCCTTGTCCCAGAACGAGAAGGAGCCGTCCGAGCCCACCGTGGCCAGCGTGCCGTGGACCGGGTGGAACGCGATGTCGTTCACCGCGTAGATGTCCTGCGCGACAATCTATATCTTATATTCTATATATATGCAGCCAAAACTACAAATCGAAGACGAATAATGTTTATATTTGGTAGTAGTTACAATTATCCCATCGTGCACTATGGGGGTTGCAAGTCTATTGTTATAGCGGTGTAAAAGATATGGGGGTTGAAAAAAGTTATCTTCAAAATTGTGGGACTATAATTTGTTGACAATATTCTGGATTGTTCTAAAATTTTTCGAAAGTTCTCTAACATAGTTAAATATTCAGCATGAGATGGAGCTAACTCTAATTGGTCTAGAAAGTTCTAGATTGTTCTAAAAATTTCTAGATCAAATGGAGGTTATAAAACAAAACTACAAAAATTGGACTTAATATATAAGGGCGAAAGAGGTAGTAGAAACACAATTTCTAGGTGTTACTATTGACCGGTATGTAAATTTGAAATTACACGTACAAAAATTATGCAAAAAAATAAATCTATTTGTCTATGCACTACACAAACTTCAAAATGTAGCAGGTCCACAAGTAGCACGTGTTGCTTACTACGGGTAAGTTGAATCCGTTTTAAGATAAGGACTACTCTTGTGGGGCAACTCAAATGACGCAAAAAAAGCCTTCCTAAGTCAGAAGAAATGTAATCGTGCACTGTGTAATGTAGGCCCTCTTGAAAGCTGTAGACGCCTGTTTAAGGAAAAAAGTATTCTCACTTTAACTGGGTTATATATATCGCATGCTTAGTGGAACACTGACCCATTATTATATGTCAGAATTGAGTTACGTACAGATACAGACTTCTTTTAGTGTGATCTAACGTCTACTGTTTGAATTACGTTGACGTTTCTCACTGTTGCCGCCCCAGCGATACATGCGTCTCTTTCACTCTTGTAGAATCTCTCATCGTGTTTTCGTCGAAAAACGACTCATGCCAGTTTGTGTCCGACATCTGTGTAGTGAGGCTGTAATTATTTTATTGAACGAAGACCCAATCGTTGTTGAGTGTGTTTACAACTAAATTCAAAGGTAAATTTCATCAAATTGTGTAATCTTATATTGACAAATTATAGTTTAGGTCGGTTTACTACATATTTTATTAATACATTACGAGAAACATTCAGTTTTAAGCCAGTTTATCTTTGAATGTTGTTATACTTTTCGAGGCCCATTACGAGTTTAGTCAGTTTACCATTAAAAGCTATGCAATATAATGGGTAACACTTTGTAACATTCAAGTTTAAGTCTTTTTGTTACTAAAGGTTATTGTTACATAATAGCCGCAATATTAGTTGAGTCTTTGTTTGAAAAAATTAAATGCAATATAATGCGTAATTTTTTCATTGCCCGTAAATGTTTTATGTTAAGTCATTGTTGGTTTAAATACTGCGTACAATAATTTATTTGTACAAGAGGCATAATATTACTATTTATGTTTTAGGTTGATAATGTCATCCAATAGGTCGAAAAAGATGACAGCTTGTTCAGGTTCGAAACCCGGCGCCACAACAGGCAACATAAGTTAGAGAACATGAATCGGTGCCATCAACTGAAGTAGAGGTAACAATTTCAAGTAACTTTAAAAATTAGGTTTGTATTAATTTCTTATTTATTTTATTAAGCTAACATCTATAACTAAAATACTTTTTTTGTTATAGATGTTAGCTAACATAACAAACAAGCCCGAAAATCAACGTTATTTAAACGTACAGGAATATTTTGAAATTTCGGAATCGGCTCCAGTCAGCAATGAAAATCACCTTCATAACACTATAGTTGTCCATGATTACACTGATGAGAGACATTCAAAATTTGAATATAGCGATGGTGATATGATGAAGATCCATACAAAGTTCCGTCTAACAAGAAAAGGCAAATACCAGTATATCCATCAAATCATCTGGAAGTTCCTCATCTTCTACGTCCTCTTCATCCTCATCACCTTCAAGATCTTCCAGTGATAGTTCTGAAGCAGAGTCTAGTGATGAACAGAACAAAACATAAGATAACATAGTTCAGGCAACTGCAGAAAGACAATCAGGTCAAACAAACATTAGTGAACCTGCGACAACAGAAGTTTCGCTAAATCAAGATATCGGAGAAAATACTACACCACAAGAAGAAAAGAAGAAGGGAAGAAAACGTAAACGGAATGAAGACAGCTAGAAACAGAATAAAGCTAAAAGTCTGAGAAATGCTGGAAAACCAGCCCATCGCCACACCATCTACTTGCTTGTAGAACTCCTCCTTCCACAATAGGTAGCCAGATGTAAGGCAGTGTCTGAGTAATACTGCATATTCTACGGGCATGTTGTTTTCTTCCAGCCTTCTAGTTACAATTGAGATGCAGTCTTCAACAGGTAAGCATGTAAACAATGACTGCACATCAAAACTGACCATAGTTTCATTGTCTGCCAGACGTAGGTCTTTAATCTCGCTGACAAAATGGTAGGAATCCTTTATGTGTGCTCTTGTATGTCCCCTGAGCGGTGAGAGTATTTTCGCTAAGTGTTGAGCCAATCTGTAAGTTGGTGAATCGATTTGGCTCACTATGGGGCGTAATGGAGCATTGGGCTTGTGTATTTTTGGTAACCCATACAACTTTGGTGATTTGGCGCACGTAGGTATTATCCATTTTACGTCCAGATTTAATTTTTCGTTTACATAGGACAAACTAAAAGATCAATTAAAACCCGCGTCAAAGAACATATAGCTGATGTGAAGAATCGACGCTCCGGGAAGTCTGCAGTCTGTGAACATGTACAGGATCGCCCCCCGTCACTACATCAGATTTGATAGACCACAAATCCTCGCTAAAGAACACCGATTCCTTCCAAGGATGATTCGCGAGGCTATTGAAATCAAAAAACATCCTAATTTCAATAGAGAAGATGGCTGGGTGCTACCATCTGCTTGGGATCCTATAATAAATAAAATTAAATCCCAACCCAAGCATACAACTGCAAGACTCCATGATACCATAAGTTCATACTGTGTAGATCGGAACAAAAGTTAAATTTTAATCTATGGTAACCGCGGTTAACTATGACAGCTGGACGTTGAACATCTCAGTCCTTCCCGTGACCATGGGTGCTGTAAAGCTCTCGAAACGTCGGGTAAAAAAGTTAAATATACGCGATAAATTCCGTAAAAATTAGTATTATTTCAATGTGTAGTGTTCGCGTAAATATAAGAAATCACAAACAATTTTTGATGTGTGTTGGAATCTCGGCCAGGTTGATGCTCAAAGATCATTTATTATGTCTTGTATGACCAATATAGCTCCAATATATAAATATACAAATGCTCGTAATCCAAGAAATTGCAATCAAGCATTCCATTTCTTAATAGAAGGGCAATCAGTACGAGTCTGTAAAACGTTTTTTATGAAAACCTTGGATATTTCTGATCGTGTTATACGAACTGTCAAGAGCAAAATAGATGAACATGGAATTCTAGCCCAAGATCTAAGAGGACAGCACAGCAACCATGTAAGGGTTGATGAACAGCTACTAAACGATATCAAACAATTCTAGACGCAATACCAAGAATTGAATTCCATTATATTAGACAATATTCTACTCGTGAATACATTGATAGTGAGAAAATAATTTCAGATTTTTTCAGAGACTTTAAAGAAAATCTAATTAAAAATAACAAAGCAGCTGCTAGATATTGCACATTTTATAAAGTATTTACACAAGATTATAAAATTTCATTTTTTCGTCCCAGAAAACATCAATGTGATTTATGTTTGCAATACAAGAACTCGACGCCTGAACAAAAAGTATTGCTCAAAGAATCGTACGATGCTCATTTAGAAGAAAAAACATTGAGCCGCCAAGAAAAACACGATGATCGCTGCAAAATAGACGATAACAATAATGTTCGATCTGCAAGCTGTTCTGCAATCTCCTAGAGGAGATACCTCGGGATTTTATAGCATAGCATAAACACTCACGCCTGTCACCCAGAGGGGTAGGCAGAGACCACGGACTTCCATTTGACACGATCCTGACATACCTCTTTCGCCTCCTTTACATCCATATATCTACGCATACATGCTCGTCGGTTAAGGGTACTTTTAACGTGGCCCATTTTCAAAATATCGCCAATTTGGTCGATAAACTTTTTTCTAGGGCGTCCCTTCCCGACTCTGCTGTTCACATCTGCCATATAAATTTGTTTTGTCACTCTTTCCTCATTCATTCTTTCTACATGACCAAACCACCGAAGCATTCCTTTCTTAATCCTGGTCACAACATCATCTTGCATACCACATTTATCTCTTATCATGCAATTTCTCATCCTGTCATTCAGATTCAACCCTAGCATACTCCTTAAAGACCGCATTTCTACAGCATTTATTCTACTTTCGTGCTTCTTCTGCCACACCTAGCTTTCACTACCATACATTAAAGTAGGGACTAACACAGCATTATGAATTACCATACGTGCCTTTTTTGATACATTCTGGTTCTTCACAATAGAGTGTAGTGCTCCATTCACTCTATTCCCTGCATTTACTCGTCGTTCTATATCATATCATATCTACCATCCCTGCTAAATACACATCCCAAATACACAAACTCATCCACTTGCTCAATTAACTCTCCTTCTATTCTTATTTCACATACCGTTTTGCTTTCCTCTCTTTCAAAAACCATCACTTTCGTCTTACTTGCGTTCACTTTCATTCCCCTTTCTTTTAATGCCCAGTTCATTAATGTAACCATCATTTGAAACTCAGCCGCCGATGACGCAAATATGACTTGATCATCGGCATACAAAAGGCATTTGACGGTTAACTCGCCCATTCTTAACCCACATTCTTCATCTTTCAAAGTTTGCAAACACCTGTCCATAAATAGGTTGAACAGCCAAGGGGAAGCCACACAGCACTGTCTGACACCCTTTCGGATGCCAAACCAGTCCGAGTAGACCCCATTGATCCTGACACAAGCACTAGAATCCCTATAAAGAGACCTCAATGCCTGTATCAAACCAGCGCTCAACC